ACCCAACCCCTATCGTTCATATATCCATCAATTTTATGTTTGAAGCTGCTCTTCAGACACATTTCTTCACTTACCAAATGTCCAGGACTTAGACCATAAAAACCACCCTTAAAACTTACCTGAACGTGGCATTTGGGGTCTGAAAAGGCCATCTTTTGTACTACCTCCGACTGCGGCAATGAGTTTGAAAGGAGTGACGTCATTACAAATGGTGGCCCTGTTTTAGAGAATTAAGCTTATCTCGACTATTATAGCAGGACTTTAAACTATTACTGCAGATTAAATACACCATATCACTCTACGAACGTGGCAGAGTGTATATCTTGTGTTTACCCAGAACCGTCAACTCGTCCATTGTCTATCTGATAGGTAATTAGTACTTTCATTAAAGTAATAATATTTTCAAAGAGTTACTGAATCAAAGGAGAGTACTATGATGTTCCCTACTTATAGATCTTCCTTAACTCTGAAAATCATTGTATATTATCTTGAATGATTATAATTAGGAATGATTCTTTCACTGGGTAAATCCCTGAAGCTAACCAATTGTCCGCACTATATCCCGTGTATGGGCCACTAATAACAGTGCACCACCCCCTTCCTCCATTCCGTCCCCAGATATCATGAGGCTTCATGGAAATCTTTAAGATAACAGTATACCCTGAAAAACAAGGAGAAGAGAGAATAAATCCTGGGAAAACCTGCAAGAGATAATACCACAGGTGGAAGAAATACCGGAGCAAAGGGCATCATGCAAATTATGTAGTATACAAAATATCCCTAAATGTGGCCAATCAGAAATTAGATCAGCCAAACAACTGATTCTGTATGGCCCAGACACACGTGAGAAAGGTGTTATCCAGCGTCACCCTACCAAACATCACAGGTTTCCCGGAGTTCGGTTTTCTCTTGTACTAAAACTGAATAGACCAACCGCCCGAACGGCTATTAAGCAGATAAGTGGTTAAAATTATATGTAAAAGAAACTCTTCAATGTGTGAGTCAGGAATAAAATGAAAACCAAGGATTCTGTCGGCCTCCTAAAGGACGAAAACAACTTGGACCTGGAGGATGATAGACAAACAGCTTGTACTCCCACTAAAAAATTATTCGGTACCCGTGTCATATTGTATCACGCCCTAAGGGTGCCGAATAATTTTTTAGTGGGAGTACATGTGTGTGTGTGTGAACAAGTATCATGGTCAAAGTATTACACTATAGGTGTGTCAAATGAGGAGTGACTGATCCACATGTAATTTAAGGTTTTTGAAATATGTAGTTAAATTAAACACGATTTTTCATATAGTTACGCGAATGATGGGAAATAAAAGAAATAGATGGGGTGTGGTGGAAGCCCTGTAAACGTTGTGTGGAGTCACTGGGTGGTTTGGAAGTGTTTATTTCCATTCATACTTTCGTAACTACAACCTATGGTAATTTTTCTTTGTGTTCGTATATAATGAAGATAATGCAGAGTATAAAATGCCATATACAATATTTATACATAATATCATCCATACAGCTGTACTATGACTGTGTGTGTTCGTGCGTGTGTTGCCTCGTGATAGTTAGAGTGGGTCCCCGTCCAGAAAGGATGGTGTACTAACCTCCAGCACCGACCCAGGTGGGCTAGAGAATATGGTTCCGAGTGTACCTTAGGTACCTAAGAGAATGAATAACCTCAGAAGTGGAAAATTAATTAAAGAAAGATAGCAATTAAAAACGATATCATGAAAAGGAAAGTAGCCAACTTGAAAGAACTTAACACCCCAGGTGTGGATGGAGCACCGAGGTGAAAAAGGAGGTGACAAACGAGATTTGCACTCCACTAAGGCTCAGTGTTCTGTCTCCAACATTGTATAATATATATAATAAGAACTCTTAATGAAAGAAGTTATAAGTGATAATGAAAGACTAAAAGTTATTGGTAAAGTAGTATCAAATATACGCTATGCAGATGATACTACTCTTATCACAGTTAATGAGAGACATTATAAAAACTCATTAACAAATTAGTGGAAAAAGGTGAAAAATATGGTTTAAGAGTTCATGCCGTAAAGACCAAAGTAATGGTTGTTTCCAAATTGGAAAAAATCATGTGATGGTAAGTGTAAGGAAGAAATCAAAACACGAATAGGGCAAGCAAAAACAGCATTTAATAATCTCAAAGACCTAATGAAAATGGAAATTAACTCTAATTTGAGAATACGGATGCAAGGACTGATGTATGAGTCAGAAGCGTGGATATTTTCGGCAGACACCAGAAAAAAGTTGGAGGCGTGTGGACATGCCCCGGCCCCGACTAAACGTTGTCCCACTGTCTTGTGGGTTAGTGTGGTAAGATGAAAGGCATGGGAAACAGACCCAGAGAGAAAAGTAAGTGATGTCAGCGCATCGTAGGCTTTCCTCCGACATACTGGAGTTGCGGCAGCCTCCTGCAGTTGTGGGTAGGTGCTAGCCTTTTGGGGTTTCTCCTTTGCCACTGGAATCACCCTACTTACAATCAAGATAGAGGTGTACGGTCGTGCACACCCCTAATTCCATTTATATGAATTTATATGGTGGAGTGTGGTGACTGTGGTACAGCAGAGCAGTCAGGTACATCCTGTGGTGGGGTGTGGTGACTGTGGTACAGCAGAACGTCCAGCTACAACCTGTGGTGGAGTGTGGTGACTGTGGTCCAGCAGAACAGCCAGGTACATCCTGTGGTGGAGTGTGGTGACTGTGGTACAGCAGAACAGCCAGGTACATCCTGTGGTGGAGTGTGGTGACTGTGGTACAGCAGAACAGCCAGGTACATCCTGTGGTGGAGTGTGGTGACTGCGGTACAGCAGAACAGCCAGGTACATCCTGCGGTGGAGTGTGGAAGTGTGAGGCGCCAGCGGCACATGGTGAAGTGAGGGAGTGATGTTGTAACTTTCTCTACTGTTCAGCGTGTGAGGGTTTATGCGGATCTGGGAAAAGGCGAAAATCCCCCGAGATCTTAAAGACGCTTTCATCTGTAAATCCTTGCTTGTTAAGGTTGAAGCTTGTTGCCCTTATTGGTAATATTGTTAGCCAGTTCGAGGCGCTCACCTCCTGCGCTTATAGCTATAGTACTAGTTCGCAGTCATGTTACTACATTAGTACTAGTTCACAGTCATTTTACTACAGCAGTATTAGTTAACAGTCATGTTACTACAGTAGTACTACTGTAATTCAGACATTAACAAGATTCATTATCTGAAAGACTTGTAAGCTGCTGTTCCTTGGCGAAGGATTAAAATAACTCCAGACAGAAAAGTTACAATGGAATTTCGATGCCATTTTGACATGTGGTTTGGTTGAGAGGACACTCGCTGGCACAGCATATATGGAAAAAATATTTCAATAACGTAAGCATGACTCCTGTAGTATTACCTAGTGTGTTTATGGCGTCCCATCAATGTAGTTCAGTGTTTGGTAATTGTTCAAGGCAGCTGCACGGGTTTACTCCATTTTTATATTTTAATATACAGAATAACTTATAATAAAACTGGTAAATTCGTTTATATGTTATCCTCGTTTCGATAACTCTTCATTCACTTTTAACGAGAGAATATTAATTTCAATTCCTGTTTATGTCTAAATGGTAGAGATTGTCTTTCTAAACTATCCGATTAATTAACCTAACATAACCAACCTGAGCCAACTTAACTATCTTACATCTTCGTGAAGTTAAGAGAGATAAGTTAGGTTGGATTTTTTGGGTCGGTTCACAACTTTTAAGTGTTTCATGGCACTTGTACGAACTGAGAACTTAATTGTTTTCCAAAGTAAATACTAACACATCTAAAAGAAGATAACAGATATTGAAGATTTTCGCTGACTGGAACACGTTTCCTATCGCAAGATAAGACGAGAAGTGAGAAGTGGCTCTCCTGCTACTATGGTATCCTCAAAATTGCATCAATATAGAATAATTTTCATTTTTTGAAAACATAGCTGATTCAAGGTTTACTTGAGAAGATTTACTTAATCTGTATAAGTTTTAGACTCCAAAAATGTAGCTTTTAGGTCTTTACAATTAAATCTGAAAGAGAGGCGGAAGAGTAAAGTGTGACCAGCAGGTGGCGGCCAGCATCGTCACCCTTCACCACATGCTGTATTTATCAATCACTTTTGTAAGAGGAGCGGTGTGTTCACCAAGGCTCAGTTATGTATAACATGTTTTTGTTCTCAAGCGAGCTGGTAACAAAGTCCGACTTGAAAAAAAGTGATAATTTTGCTGCTTCCACTGAAAATTTTAAACCTTAATAAATTTGAGATATCTCAGTCGTTCATTAATTTTTTCTGGTTTAAATTTTCAGTGAATTCCAAGTGAACAGTACGGACTATTATAATTTCAAGTGAACAGTACGGACTATTATAATTTCAAGTGAACAGTACGGTCTATTATATCTTTCATCACCGAAGGTCAATAAATATATTGGGGTGACTGTGACGGCTATGTTGAAGGTATTAGTTCAGTGTTAGGAGCAACAGGATAAAGATCCGACCACTGCCAGGGAATTAAAATATTTATATTGCCAAGAGTGACAGAGTTAATGAAATTTTTGTGTGTGTCAGAAATTCAAACGTTTAGATAAAGGGAAGGTGTAACTATAGATAATTTAAATTTCAATAGTTTATTCCTTGATAGAGGAAGCGGGATCCTACCGAGTGGTGTCACTAGGTACCCCTGTCTATAGGTAATCTCACTACTTACGTGGAGTGGCAGGCCGACGTCTATTGGTTGGTTTCCCTGCGTCTAGGTGACGTAAGCTTTGAATTTTCGTGCATATTATAAAACAATGTCGATGTGTAATCTAACGATATAATTTGGCTCACGCAACATATTGATCTAATTGCAAAAACAGTAATTAAATGGGTCTTCAGTCAGGTGTGTGAGTGTACGGGAAGCTGTAGCGCATGCGCAGCGGTTACTTTCACGAGGGAGAAGAGAGCACATATATGAGTGCGCACGGCAAGCGGGACGTCATATCACCCTCACCTGTCCAACCCACCATGAATCTTCACAGGGTAGGTTGTCTCGCTGTGCTCCTGCTGTTTTGATTACTCTAGAAAAAGTTTTTTTTTATGTAGTCAGTTTGGTCCTCAGAGGTACTGGACATTAACATAGTTTCTTCATTTAGGAAAGTCAGTGGATATATTTATTTGTTTAATCCGTACGTTATGTTATCGAAGGGGAGTAAGAACTGTGGAACAATGAACTAAAATGATGAAACAAAAAATGGTAGAGTTGGTATTGGTTCCAATTGTTTTGGCGACAGACTATAACAGTTGGTGCGACACACATAATTACTTATTGGCGGTATGATGACTTTCAGTGGTAAGTATTTATGATACACCATCTTCGTTGGGTGTTAGTGATGATGTGTTTAGTGCTGTGTTACATGGCATCACTATTATAGCTAAACTTGCACACAAATAAAGCAACATTTCGAGAGAACTGCGTGAAACCATAATATCTCAATCTCGTGTCAGCGCAGATAACATGTCTCCAATATATACATTACAGGTACTCTACATGTTGTTAGCAGCTTTCAGTAGTTGTTGTTATCTATTTGTTTATTAACACAGAAGAGAGAGAGAAGAGCAACTCAGAAATTTATTACAACTTTCTCAGTCAAACTCTTGAGCCTGAAACTTTTACCTGTCAACCATATGGGCCTGGTGTCACGTATCACACACAGGATGACATAGTGAATCACGTGGGCCTGGTGTCACGTATCACACACAGGGTGACATAGTGAATCACGTGGGCCTGGTGTCACGTATCACACACAGGGTGACAGTGAATCACGTGGGCCTGGTGTCATGTATGACACACAGGGTGACATAGTGAAGCACGTGGGCCTGGTGTCACGTATCACACACAGGGTGACATAGTGAATCACGTGGGCCTGGTGTCACGTATCACACACAGGGTGACAGTGAATCACGTGGGCCTGGTGTCATGTATGACACACAGGGTGACATAGTGAAGCACGTGGGCCTGGTGTCACGTATCACACACAGGGTGAAATAGTGAACCACGTGGGCCTGGTGTCACGTATCACACACAGGGTGAAATCGTGAACCACATGGGCCTGGCGTCACGTATCACACACAGGGTGAAATAGTGAACCACGTGGGCCTGGCGTCACGTATCACACACAGGGTGAAATCGTGAACCACATGGGCCTGGCGTCACGTATCACACATTGGGTGAAATAGTGAACCACATGGGCCTGGCGTCACGTATCACACACAGGGTGAAATCGTGAACCACATGGGCCTGGCGTCACGTATCACACACAGGGTGAAATAGTGAACCACGTGGGCCTGGTGTCACGTATCACACACAGAGTGAAATCGTGAACCACATGGGCCTGGTGTCACGTATCACACACAGGGCGAGATAGCTAACCATTAATAAAGCTATGGTTTTAGCGAAGAAAAGAATGTTGAAAATATAAAATATTTTCAAGATGTCAGGTCGAGGAAGTGACCACGAACAATATTATTATTTTCTCAAGTATTTATTACGAAAGAATTAGTTACTATTATCTAAACTACGATATATTCATCTTGGATTTTTGTGTAATATTCAGTCTACACATTCCTCTCACAAACCTAGTACAGTATTCACCATTTGTAACTTAAACCTCTATGTTGCATCACTCACCTATCACTAATGTTTACTAAGTTCCTCTGTATGTCCTCATATTTTCCTCCTTTGTCATATCTTTCTCTACGATTAGCAGTGTATCTATCAATATTTTTCCCTCGTCTACTGTGTTGTTCTTCATCTTTTATTTCATTCACAGATATCTAAAACACTCCCTCCTCCAGTCTGTCTTCAGTATAACTAGTATACAACAATACCTGTTTTCTCTCTTTTGCTCTCATCACTTTGCATCACCCCACGTTCTCTATTATCTCCTGCTACACACTTTTCCAAACTAATTTACAACCATTGGCATTTTATCCTGAATAATTTAACCAACCGGTGTCATCCACTACAATTAGCTAATGTGTTGTTTGCACCCATTATCTCCATCGGTCAAGCCCGTGTCCCTCTCCATCATTCCTGCCTGGAGTAAGGTGGTCACTGGAGTAAGGTGGTCACTGGCGTAAGGTGGTCACTGGCGTAAGGTGGTCACTGGTAAGGTGGTCACTGGAGTAAGGTGGTCACTGGAGTAAGGTGGTCACTGGCGTAAGGTGGTCACTGGAGTAAGGTGGTCACTGGAGTAAGGTGGTCACTGGACTGGCGGTGGTCACTGGAGTAAGGTGGTCACTGGAGTAAGGTGGTCACTGGAGTAAGGTGGTCACTGGAGTAAGGTGGTCACTGGACTGAGGTGGTCACTGGCAAGGTGGTCACTGGAGTAAGGTGGTCACTGGAGTAAGGTGGTCACTGGAGTAAGGTGGTCACACTGAGTAAGGTGGTCACTGGAGTAACTGGAGTAAGGTGGTCACTGGAGTAGGTGGTCACTGTAAGGTCGATGAGTTAATTGGGTGTGAGGTGTGAGGATGGAGGATGTGGAGATGGAGGGTGTGGAGCACTGAGGTGGAGGTGGAGGATGGAGGGATGGAGGGTGTGTGGAGGGTGTGAGGATGGAGGATGAGGGTGTGAGGATGGAGGGTGAGGATGGAGGTGTGAGGATGTGAGGGTGTGAGGGATGGAGGGTGGAGGGGGTGTGAGGATGGAGGGTGTGTGAGGTGTGAGGATGGAGGGTGTGATGATGGAGGTGTGAGGGATGGGGTGTGAGGATGGGGGTGGGATAGAGGGTGGGAGGGTGAGGATGAAGGGGTGTGAGGATGGAGGGTGGTGTGAGGATGGAGGTTGTGAGGATGGAGGATGTGAGGATGGAGGTGTGAGGATGGGAGGATTGTGAGGATAGGGGTGTGAGGGATGGGGGTGTGAGGTGGGAGGTGGGAGGTGGAGGGTGTGAGGGATGGAGGGTGTGAGGGACATAGGTGGGGATGGATGAGGGGAGGGTGTGAGGATAGGGGTGTGAGGATAGGGTGTGTGAGGATGGAGGGTGGAGGATGGTGGTGTGGAGGGTGAGGATGGAGGTGTGAGGATAGAGGGTGTGAGGGATGAGGGTGTGAGGGGGTGTGAGGGTGATGTGATGATGGAGGGTGTGAGGTGTGAGGGTGTGAGGCCGAAGGGTGTGGGGTTAGAGGGTGTAGGTGTGAGGATGGAGGGTGTGGGGATAGGGGTGTGGAGGTGTGTGGAGGGATGTGATGATGGAGGGTGTGAAGATAGGGGGTGTGAAGATAGAGGGTGTGAGGTGTGAGGGTGTGAGGATAGAGGGTGTGAGGTGTGAGGGTGTGAGGATAGAGGGTGTGAGGAGGGAAGGTGTGAGGATGTGATGATGGAGGGTGTGAGGTGTGAAGGTGTGAAGATGTGATGATGGAGGGTGTGAGGATGTGAGGTGTGAGGTGTGAGGATAGAGGGTGTGAGGTGTGAGGGTGTGAGGTGTGAGGGTGTAAGGAGGGAAGGTGTGAGGATGTGATGATGGAGGGTGTGAGGATAGAGCAGGGGTGGGCAATTATTTTTGATGGAGGGCCACTTCATGAATGGTGGCACACTTCGCGGGCCACACACTTAATGTGTATTGCTGCTATGTCCACCCAACTTCCAAAATTTTCCTTTCTGTAATTAATAAGATTTTTTTTTCTGATTGCCAAATGCAGTGGCGGGCCACAGAAATAATTTGGCGGGCCAAATGTGGCCCGCGGGCCGTACTTTGCCAACCCCTGGGTGTACAGGTGTGATGTACAGATTTAGTGTATAGGTGTATTAAGTTATGGTATAGTGTACAGGTGTGATGTACAGGTTTAGTGTATAGGTGTATTAAGTTATGGTATAGTGTACAGGTGTGATGTACAGGTTAAGTGTATAGGTGTGTTAAGTTATGGTATAGTGTACAGGTGTGATGTACAGGTTTAGTGTGGAGGTGTAGCAAGTTATGGAAATATATTTTTTTTACGGGATTAGCCCACATAAGAACATAAGAACATAAGAAAATAAGGAGTCTGCAATAGGCTAGTTGGCCTGTGCATGGCAGCTCCTGTCGAGAGTTACTACCACTCTCTATCATCCATGAATCTATCCAGCCTCCTTTTGAAACTTTCCAGCGATCCAGCACTTTCTACAAAGTTGCTAAGCTTGTTCCACTCGTTCACCACCCTATTTGTAAGCCAGTTCCTTCTTATCTCCCTCCTAAACCTAAACTTATCCAACTTAAATCCGTTGTTCCGAGTCCTATCCTGCTCGGATATAATAAGAACTTTATCTATATCACCTTTATTGATTCCTTTCACCCATTTAAATACTTCTATCATATCTCCCCGCACTCTTCGCCTTTCTAAGGAATGCAAGTTTAGTTTCTTTAACCTATCCTGATATAGAAGGTTTCTAAGTCCCGTAATCATTTTCGTCATTCTTCGCTGCCTGGGAGCGAAATAATAATAATAATAATAATAATAATAATAATAACAATAACAATAACAATAACAATAACAATAACAATAATAATAATAATAATAATAATAATAATAATAATAATACTAATACTAATAATAATACTAATATGATGATGATGATGATGATGATGATGATGATGATGATGATGATGATGATGATGATGATGATGATGATGATGATGATGATGATGATGATGATGATGATGATGATGATAATAATAATATATGATAATAATGATGATAATAATAATAATAATAATAATAATAATAATAATAATAATAATAATAATAATAATAATAATAAAATAATAATAATAATAATAATAATAATAATAATAATAATAATAATAATAATAATAATAATAATAATAATAATAATAATAATAATAATAATAATCATAATCATAATCATAATAATAATAATAATAATAATAATAATAATAATAATAATAATAATAATAATAATAATAATAATAATAATAATAATAATAATAATAATAATAATAATAATAATAATAATAATAATAATAATAATAATAATAATA